AAGGACATCGCTGGAGAAGCCATATTTCGATTTTTTTTTTTTTTTTTTTGGTTTTATCTTTCCCTGGACTCACAGTGTGTGAGTTACTTCTCTGAGGAATGCAGAGTCGTGGTCTGTGGCTTGTGGAGGGAGCTATTAGCCTGAGGGCAGAGCAGTGGCAAGTGGTGGAAAAAGGAGGCTGGAAGTAGACTCGGCATCTGGGCAGGTCTGTATGGAAGATCAGGAGAGTTATTTTGACAACTCTGCCACTTTGAAAACAAGTAACAACTCAAGTAAAGCTGCTGAGGAGGCCTCTGAATACAGGAGTGTGGGGCTCAGAGGAGAGACAAGGGTCCCGTTAAGGACTGTCTGGTGGAAGGCAAAGGGAGTGTGTATTTCCCTTCATTTTTGCTTTATGGGTTGGTGAAACAGATCAAAGAGTCTGGAAACAGATGCAGTGTGGTCACTCACACTTATAATCTCAGGCTGTGGTAACAGGATAAGATCAAGGACAGCCTGGATTACATAGTTTGAGGCTATCCTGGACTACATGGTATGTCTCTACCTCAGAAAAGAAAGAAAAAAAAAACTCATTTCGTTAAAATGAAGTGACATTGCATTTATGCTCTGGGCTCCTCATGAGAATTAATGAGTGAGCAGTATATAAATTACCATGTTAAGGAAAGGGCTGGGTGTAGTAATACACAGTTTTAATCCCAGAATTTGGGAGGTAGAGGCAGGAGAAGCCCTGAGTTCGAGGCCAGCCTGTTTGTAGTTACAGGACAGCCAGGTCTACACAGATACACAGAGAAGGATGGAAGGAAGGAAGGAAGGAGGGAGGGAGGGAGGGAGGGAGGGAAGGAAGGAAGGAAGGAAGGAAAAGGGAAGAAAAGAAAAATGTACCTGGTAGTAATGCTCATTACAAATTGTGTCCCATTTTATTTCAGTGAGAAAAAGCCAGGGTCTGTGGGAAAAGAATTAACATAACTTGCTGTTCATCTTGAAAAAATATTAGATGTTCTACTTTACAAAAATAATCATGCTTAATATCAGCTAAAGAATGTGTGTGTGCCTGACATGGTGAATGTCTTTAATCCCAGCATTCTGGAGGGTGAGGCAGGCAGAGCTCTGTGAGTTGGAGGCCAGCCTGGTCTACATGGTGAGTTCCAGGATGTAGAGAGACTGTCTGAAAAAATTAAATTAAATTAGTAAAGTGCATTCATTAAAAAATGTGTGTGAAATAAATCACACTGGGGCTGGAGAGATGGCTCAGTTATTAATGACACTTGGTGGCGCCAGGCAGTGGTGGCCCACGCCTTTAATCCCAGCACTTGGGAGGCAGAGGCAGGTGGATTTCTGAGTTCGAGGCCAGCTTGGTCTACAGAGTGAATTCCGGGACAGCCAGAGATACACAGAGAATCCCTGGCTCGAAAAACAAAAAACAAAACAAAAACACTTGTTGGCTTAGTATTTATGAGCACTGGTCTGGTAGTGATGACACATGCCTTTAATCCTGATACTCCAGCCTGATCTACAGAGCAAGTTCCAGTACAGCCTGGAACCTGTTATACAGAGAAACCCCTGTCTCAAAAACAAGCAAACAAATCAAATCAAATAAACAAACACCCGTTGAGCATTCTTGAAGAGGACTCTAGTTTGGTTCCCAACACCGACATGGCAGCTCACAACTATTTGTAATTCCAGTTCCAAGGGATCAGAAACCTTCTGAGTTTCCCCGGCAGTGCACTCAAGTGAGGCACATACATATAAGCAGACAAAGCACTCATACAGATAATAAGTCTTTTTTTTTTTTTTTAAGAAACCAAACTAGAAAGTAAAACACTTCGATAATAGTTAATTGATAAACCTTGTTGAGCTACTTTTGACCTGATGGTTAGAAGAGGAAGGAAGTCACTAAGGCGGGTGGAGCCCTGGGCTCCGGAGCCTGTCACCATTCCGGGTACAAGAACTTTGCTCTGGATGTTGTAGTTGGGGGTGGGGACAGGGACGGGGGTAAGACGACAAGACCCAAGTCATAAGCCAGATGACCTCGAACTCCATACGCGACACGGAGACCGGAACTCCTGTGTCGCGAATGTCTGTTTCCGGAGGGAGTTTGAGTGCGGATGCCTAGGATTGTTACACTGAGAAAGCCGACTTCCGGTGTGGCGTTCTTTCGCAGTGTTTGGACGGCTGTGCTCTGGAGCAATGCGGCAGAAATATTATATTGAAGCGGCTGCTCGGGGCCTGGTTGGAAGCTGCCCGGGCCAGGCCCGCTACCTCCTGTAAGAGAGGGGCGAAGGATGGGCGGGCGAGCGGGCGGGAGGGCGGCCACGGTACCCCAGCCTCACGCCCGTTTCTCTTTTGCAGATGGGCCTACAGTTCGACACACGGTAGGAGAACGCCGGCTGCGGTGGCTTGGGCCCCTGTCACCCCAGTGGTCCAAAGGAGAAGGGTGACCGACTTGTCTCATTTTTTTTTTTAAATATGACCTAGGCTCTTCAGTTGCATGAAAACCCCAAATTCTTTATGAATCCTTAAATCCTTTCTTAATCCTTAGCACTAGACATATTGGTCAGCGTTTTTTTGTTTTGGTTTGGTTTTTTTGTTTTTTTCGAGACAGGGTTTCTCTGTGTAGCCCTGGCTGTCCTGGAACTCACTCTGTAGACCAGGCTAGCCTCGAACTCTCAAACTCAGAGATCCGCCTGCCTCTGCCTCCCAAGTGCTGGGATTAAAGGCGTGTGCCACCAATGCCCTGGTCAGCGTTTTTTTAAAAGTGTGTTTTCCCTGTGTGTTTATCTTGGCACCAGGTGCGTGCCTGATGCCGCAGAAACCAGAGGAGGGCGTCGAATCTCCTGGAACCGCACTTAAAACCGGTCGTGAGCCCCCATGTGGGTACTCGGAATTAATCCTGAGCCTCTGCAAAGAGCAACAAATACTCCTAACCCCTAAGCTATCTCCCCTGTCCCTTGATCAGCTTTTTATTTTATTTTATTAAGTGTATAAATTTTGCCCTCATGCCTGCATCATTTGGGAGCCTGGTGACCAGAAGAGGGTGATGGAATCCTCTAGAACTGTTGATAGACAAGTGTGAGCTGCTCAAACAGGGTGCTAGAAATTGAACCTGGGTTCTCTGGAAGAGCAGCCAGCAGTAACTGCTGAGCCATCTCTAGCCCACACATATTTGTGTGTGTGTGTGCCGCCCAAGAGAGTGGGTCTGGAGAGAATGTCTGGAGGTCAGAGAACCACTTTTGAGAATAGTTTCTATCCTTCTATTGGATGGGTTCCTGTGGATGGAACTTGGGTTGTCTAGCTTGGTAGAAGTGCTTTGACCCTGAACCAAGCCAACAGCACCACATTGGTCGGGGTTTCAGTAGTTCCCACCTGTCTTCCTCACTACCTCTTACTTCTGTACCTCAGTATACTTTGTTGGTTTTCCTAATCTTCCAGGAGCCAAACATTGTGGTGCCCCAGAACTCAGTTCTTGGATGACATTTCTTTTCATTCAGTCTTGGGGCTGGATACAATATACTGAGACCTTCCTGTCCTCACCCCTCCTTTAAATGACCAGTTGTCACCATAGTAAACAGTGAGCTTGTCTCTACCTTGGAGCTATTTCTTGACACTCCACCACCACCTCTCCTCCTTGGTCTACCTTGTAGCAGCAAATCACAAAATACTCCCAAACTGACCCACTTTTTGCATCCATTGCGTGCAATCTGGTCCAAACAATTAGTGCTTCCCTCCTGGATTACTGCTAGCTGGAATGCCACATAACCTCTGTGACATACTTCCAGTTGGCTCACTCAATTCCAGCCATGGCAGACCTGCTTGCTCTTTTGTTCCTGGGCTTTTGCAGATGCCTTATCATGCCTGGAGCTCTACTTACTGCCTGCTGTCTTTTCTCTCTGCAACCCTCATTTGTTGATGCTCCCTAGACATCCTTAAGTTACAATTACTTCACAGCCTCCGCTCCCCTCCCTTAGCCCCACCCCCTGGCCCAGCAATAACATGTGATATTGTATGTCATCTGGTTGTCCTTTGTTCACAGTGCACAAAAAAGTACTGGTTGTACTGATGGTGAAGGGAAGGAAGGAGGGAGGGGAAGAACAATCCTGTGCAGATTGCTTTGTGGTAAATGTGTTGACAACTAAGCAACAAATGAGCAAAGAAGTAAAGGGCAGTCATCTGTTGCTGAAGGAGTGGATGGGGAAATTAGAGAACTCTGTAAAATACATTATTTCCAGTTTGCTTTTTTTAAATTTTTTTATAAATTTCCATATCTGAAGTTTGCTTCAAGAGACTGTATCTGATGATATGATCAGTATGTTTTCTTTTTCCCCACTTATGATACCAGTTGTTTGAGGTAACAATACTCTGACTTGCAAACTGAATTGTATGTATTTATTTGTAGAGGATAACAGCACTTTTCAGGAAACATGCCCACACTGCTTCCAGTTGTTGGTTCTGGATAACTCTAGAGTACGCCTCAAACCCAAAGCCAAACTGACACCGAGAATACAGAAACTTCTTAATCGAGAAGCAAGAAATGATACACTCAGTTTTAAAGAAGCAAAACTGTTGAGAAAGTATGAAGACTCTGCAAGTGTGCTGGTAAGGCTACAGCTCTAGTACATAAAAACTGGCTGTCATTTTGTCTTGTTTGCCTTAGTTTGTACATTTGGACTGTCAAGAGTGTACACATGATGTTTCTGTGATAGTGACTCACCAAGGGCTGTCCTAGAACTTGCTTTGTAGACCAGACTGATTTCGAACTCAGGGTCAGCCTGCCTTTGCCTCTGCCTCCCCATTGCTGGGATTAAGTGTGTGCATTATTACATTGGCTAGTTGTTTTAATTTTTGATAATTCCCCGAAACCAAGGCTTGATGCTCCTACTTGCTCTCACCTCACTGTGGAGCGCAGTGTTTTGATTTTTGAGAACTCCTTGTGTTTAGCAGTGTAACTCACAGGCTCAGTCACTTAGTCGTTTCTTCAGTAACAAATACTTTCCTCCACACTAACCTTGTGTAAAAGGTCCCAGGTCAGCATGTAGAACCTGTCCACCCAGCAAAGTGTTTAGTGTATAAAATGGAATAAGACAAAAATTCCCAAAAGCTTACTAGATAGAAACTAATATCAGATATATTTTATATCTTGCATGCTCTGTATGAACATTACCAATTTACTCAAGTGTATGCAGGCACCGAGATAAGGTCTTGCTATGTAGCCCAGACTGGCCTTAAGCCCACTGTGTAACCTAGGCTGACCTCAACCTATGAGCTTTCTGCCATAGGAATTTATTAGAAAACAGTGCAATATATTGGAGTTTATACTCTACTGTATTTTAGTTAGAGATCACATGAAAGAAAGGCTTATCGGGGGATGTTTTACTGACTTATCTTAATCTGTATATAGCCTTTTCCCCAAAACTATAAGGCAGCAGGCCTTCATCTATTCAGATTGCTCTAGTTATCTTTCTGTTGCTGTGATAAACTAAAGCATCTTATAAAGGCAAGTGTTTAATTAGGCTTTCTGCTTCACAGGGCTAGAGTTAATGTTGGCCAAGTGCAGGAACAGCTGAGGGCTCACGTCCTCATCCACAACCTTAAGGCAGAGAGTGACACTGGGAGTCACCTTCTTTGGGCTGGAGAGACAGCTCAGAGGTTAAGAGCACTGGCTGTTCTTCCAGAGGTCCTGAGTTCAGTTCCCAGCAACAACATGGTGGCTCATAATCTATAGTGAGACCTGGTGGCCTTCTCTGGCAGACCACCACACCCAGTGTACATGCAGGCGAAACACTGTATACATAATAAATAAATCCTTCAAAACAAAACTAATTCTAAAAAAGAAAAAGAGAAACCTCAAAGCCTGCCCCTAGTCCAACTTTCTAATCTTTCCCAAACAGTGACACTAACTGGGGACCAAGTGTTGAAGCTCATGAGCTGAAGCGGACCATTGTTGTTCATATTACCACACAGTTCTTTATTGAATTCTTATCTGAGATCGAGTACCTCTCACCTACCTCGCTTACATGCTGCTGAGACAGGCTATGTAGAAAAGGCATTTAGGTGCAAAGTGGGCCATGTCTTAACAATGTATCCTACTGGGGCTATAGAGATGGCTCAGCAGCTTAAAGCACTTGCTGCTTGTTTGGTTCCCAGCAGCCATTCCCATAACCAACACACTTTCTGTACCTTCTAGCCTCTTCAAGGGGATCAGTCATGTACATAGTGCACATATTTTCATGCAAGCAAACATCCATACACATAAAAATAAATACTGATGGAAACGGAAGGGTTTTATTAGTCAGACTAGCATGAGTCCATTATCTTTTTAAAATTATTTTATTATTGAGATTACAATATGATTGCACCATTTTTTCCCCTCCAAACCTCCCATATACCCCTCCTTCCTCTCTTTCAAATTCAAGGGCTCTGTACACATATGCTCCATCTCTATATTGTTATGTATGTTTTCAGGGCTAACTGTTTAGTATTGGATAGCCAATTGGTGTGCTCTCCCCTGGGGAAAACTATTTCCACATTCCTTAGTTGCCTATAGTTCTTTCTATAGGATTAGGGTCTCATGGTCTCTCTTCTACCCCCCAACCCTGTTGCCTAGTCAGTGCCTTCTCCTTGGCTATTTTACTGTTTCGAATTTGTCTTATCTGGTTCCTCCTGGTAGATTGCAAGCTCCCAGAGGATAGTCTCTGTGCTAACTCACATAGGAATTGAGGAAAACACAGTTTATTGGGTTACATTACCAGAGAACTCATGGGACCAACTTCTTTTTTGTGGTAGCTGATTACCTGTAGAACATGCAACAGAACAGTGAGACACCATGGTAAGAGTAGAGGCTTCCTATCGGCACTGAAGAACAACACTGCCACTGCTGCAAACAAAGCCAGCCCAAAGACGCCAAAGAGAACAGCTCCAGGCTCTACAAACCTCGGTCAGAGTACGCATGGTTCCAAAGGCAGGAGCCCCTCCTTGACCATCAGGTACTTTCATTTGTTAGCTGTGTGAAACATGAGGTATCTGTTTCATGTGCACTCCTGAGTACTCCACGTGTTACAGGCCATGGCACACTTTTCTCCCATGCCCTTTGGTTGTCTGTAGTTGTAACCCTCAACTTTTACATGAGTGCATATGGCTCCTATGCAGTCTCTCCCAGCACCTGACATACTCCACAGCCAACTTCCAAGTCTTCCCTTCTTCTGTGTCTTAATGCTGACCAAGATGTCCTTTTACCCTCTTTACCTAAAATGGCAGAGGGACTGGCAACTTCTACACTGTAGTGTGTTGCCAGTTTCTCTTTCCTACTGCTGCTGTCCCAGGCCAGGTCTTCAGTATCCTTTTGTTAGGGCTAGGACAGTGCTTCCCTGATGGAGTTCTGGCTCAAGTACAGCTGTCAGCAGTCTTTACCCGATTCTGTGGCACTAGGTAAATACATGGCCATGGCTTCCCAGCCCCGCACTTGCCTGTCCTGTTGTGTTGCCTCAGTTCACCCTGTGTTGTCTGAAGCCCTCACACTATGTTTCCCAAGGGTATTACTCTTTCCTCTGTCACAAATTCTTATGGAAATCTAGATCAATAGAGATTTGCCAGAAACTCCCAAGTTTTCGTTTTAGGAATCCTCAGTACTTCATTATGACAGTGTGAGTTCAAGTACAATTCCATAGCTACTGTGTGAAGAATTTAGAATATTTTGTTACAAAAGAAACTAAATGTGATCAGTGTCTTTAACATGAACAACACAATCTAGCCAGGACTGGATTATTTCTGTCTAATGATTATTTTATATTGAGCTTAAAGTTTATGATACTGAGTTAAAGTGTCAAGTCCAGTTTTCTGTATATTACTGACTTAGTCAATATTTGGTATAAATTCAACAGAAATTCGCAAAGTGTAAATGTTGATTAAAAAAAAACTTTTGGTGTATTTAAAGCAATTGAGTTGCATTTAGGGGTCCTAAGGAAAGGGTTCAGTTGGTAGTCCTTGCTGTGTAAACACAACTGAGTTCAGATCCCCAGCACCCCCATGCAAACTCTATTAGATGGTGAATGAATGGCTTATTCTGTGGATGTTTGTGGAGTGTGTCCTATGTACCTGGCACTATCCAAAAATACCAGTAGTCCAGTGCCTGTCCTATGGTACTACCATCCTAGTGGGGAAGACATGGTGGAACAGTGCCTCCTCAGGGCCTTTCACTGTAAAGGAATGAAGTCTTCAGTTGTAAGAGTTGTCATGAATGCTAGTGTCAGGTGTAAATTCAGCCTGGTAACATTTTACCTCTAAGTTTATCTTTCAGGTATCATGAGTGCTTCTAGAACCATCCAGTGTGCCTCCTAAATGGTGCCAGAATTAGATATTCCATGAGGCTTTTGTTGTTGTTAATGGGAATTACTATGATGAGCACAGCCAGGGTCCATACAGAGCTGTAATGCAGTGTAGTGTACAAAGCACAGTGCTCTTAGGAGGACCATTTTGTCCTTTGGCAATGTGACTGACAGTGGTCTTTCTCTCCTTTCAGAACACCTACATCTGGACAATCAACACCTATTTGCTCCTCAAGGAATGGGAGCAAAAGAAAGAAACACTTCTCTCAACTAAAAGCACTGCTTAATGAGAGTGCATCTGACAAGAACCCAAAGCTGGACTTCAGGCACTTCTTATCTTCTCTGTGAAGAAAATGACCTCTGAATGAAAGAACTGTCTAGTGCAGCTTCTGAAACTGAAGCTAGTTAACACTTCTGTCCTCACTTTGATGTCTGAGCACATGGACACTAAGTCAAAAGCAAGCTCTTCCTGTCATCCTTCAGTGCTTAAGGGAAAGGCCTCCCTGGTGAATATGAACATCAAAAAGTAAATGACCAAAGATAAAGGTACTGCTGCTGCTGTGCCTTCAACCTGAATTTTATCTCCAGGACAAACACAGCAGAAAGAACCCCAGGCTACAGGTCATTCTACAAGCTCCACATGAGCGCCCTCCCCACAGAAGATGAACAAACGTAATAAAGGGTTTTAAAAACTAAAATGCGTACTGAATGGTGGTATTTATTCTAGTTTTTGCAGTTTTATTATCATTTCTTTCAGAAGGAAACAAAGTTTCTTCCATGTGTCAATAACTATTGCTAATATATAAAAATCAAATATATTTCCTCAGTCATATGCATAACAATATTAGTAAACTATGAACATTTTTCACATTTTGAAAGAAATACTTGACACCTCCATGCCTGTTTAAGAGATTAGAGATTAAACTCAGGGCCTTGCGTGCTGAGCAAGTGCTGTACAGAACCAAGTGTAAACACTGCAGCTATGAGCCAGGCCAGGTGTTCCTTATGTGTCTGCAAAGTCCACCCTGTTACTACTGAGCCTCTCCTGATTTAGATTTGATGAGTAAAGAAGGGATTATGCAGTGTTTAGGCAGCATATGCCTCCTTACTGGGTCATTAGAGATTGCTTGGCACCGTCTTGAAATTGTGACCAATCCATCAAGCCTTTCTTTCTCCCAGACTGATGATAAACACATGAGTTCTGTTCCAACTGCACTGAGCTGACGGTACAGCCGGAAGAGCTGTGTTTACTTGTGTGTTTACTTGTGTGACCCTTGGTCCTTCTAAGGGGAGTATGCTGGGAGCTGAGGTAAAGTGAGTCACTGAGAAGGTCTTCAATGCAGTTTTCTAGTCTTTCAAGAACTGGGGTTAAGGCTGGTGAGATGGCTCAGCGGTTAAGAGCACTGACTGCTCTTCTAGAGGTCATGAGTTCAAATCCCAGCAACCACATGGTGGCTCACAACCATCTGCAATGAGATCTGATGCCCTCATATGGGTGTCTGGAGACAGCTACAGTGTACTTACATATAATAAATTAAAAAAAAAAAAAAAAAAGAACTGGGGTTAAAAAATGTTGAGTATTAGTTTTGTTGGATCTTTGGGATAATGATAGGTTGTCTTCTTAGAAAGACATTAAAAAAAAATCCTAATACTTCTGCAAATAGTTATTGAAGAAATGTGTCAGTTTTTCCTTTTGCTAATGAAAGTGCACTTGTACAGTTTTAGAGATCATAAAAAAATGAAGGACAATTTCATTTGGCAACATACAAAAAAGCCCATATTTTCTGCCGGGGGGTGGTGGTGGCGCACGCCTTTAATCCCAGTACTTGGGAGGCAGAGGCAGGCGGATTTCTGAGTTCGAGGCCAGCCTCGTCTACAGAGTGAGTTCCAGGACAGCCAGGACTACACAGAGAAACCCTGTCTCGAAAAAAAACAAAACAAAAACAAAAAGCCCATATTTTAAAAAAATCTCCAAACTTTTAAAAGCAAGATTTCTAGTGTGCTATGTTGTCATAATCACCATTTGTCCACACAGTACACCTGTGGAATGAAGACAGATCAAAACAAGAAAATCAAATTGATGTTTGGTAATGCCTACAGCTTTATAAGAAACTAAATTCCTGAAATGACAGAAAACAAGCATGGGGAATTCAGGTCATTAACTGCCCAAAACTGATCTCATAGATGTTCCATTTCATACATGACTTATTTCATCTGAGAGTAACAATTAAAACCGTAGGCCTATTGTGCTGGTTTATTTGAAAAGGTGATTAATTTCACTGTTAAGATGCTAAAAATATTCCAGAGGGCTGGAAAGGTGACAAGTAGAAGCACTTGCCGATGACCTCGTGACCTGAGTTTAATTCCTAGGACACACGTGGTAGGAGAGGAGTAACAACTCCTGCCAGCCACCCCGTGACCTCCACACATCAACTGTGCTGTGTGCTCAAGCACAGGAGGCCTGGGGAGCACTTGTTGCTCTCGCTGAAGACCCCAGGTTTGCCTGCGCCTACATGATGCCTCACAGCCATCTGAGACTCTAGTCCAAGATCAGATCCCTGACCTCCCTGGGCTTCAGGCATACATGTAATGCACATACATACAAGCAGGCAAAACACTAATAAACACATCTAGAAAGGTCATAATGAAAATACTTACCCTAACTTATAAACTTTTCTTTTACGTACGGTTACCTAAATGGTATGTTTTGAAGTGTATACTTTTAAAAATGCTGTGACCCCAGCACTACCCATATTACTGAAAGTGCTGGTTAAGGGAACATGTAGGGAAAATGCATGTTAACGAACCTATAAGCTCAGTCACTGGAAGTTAGCTTTCATGGTTTGGAGGCTAGATCTACCAGGAAAGACACTGTTTTATGCCACTGATTTCAAATTTTACTACAGCTATAATTGTTCTGTCCCATTAATGGACATTAAAGGAAGCAAAGAGGCAGGGCTGACAACTGCAGTCTGTCTTCCTCAGTGTTCCTAAGACATTCAGACTAGCAGCTCAGTGAAAAACATCAGTGACATTTGCTACTAACTTGGGCATCAGTGTCCAGTAGACCGAGACGTGATGAACTGGTCATGAAGCTCACCTGAGGCCCTACAATACTCAAATACCAGCTCAAAAAAAAACAAGACAAAGGTATTAACTGCAGCTCAAATTTGAAACCACCACCAAATACAGGTCCCCCCTATTTATGGCAGAATAGTGAATATAGTGAAATTATACAACATAATAGCATTTCAAATGATCTAATAGTTTGGTCCTAACACTCAGGAAGACTGAGTTCAAGGCCAGCCTGGACTGTATAGTGAGCCACTGTGCCAACAAGCAATAGTAGAGTTCACTGATAGAAGACAATTCATGACAGTATTATTTGGGAAAGGCCGTATATTAATGCTTGATTCTTAAAATACCTCCCCCCTTCAACTTGTACTTCCAAACAAGTCAGGTAACATTTTATTTGCTGAACACCGAAAATGGAGTATACCTTGGTGGAAGTGGATGATTCTCATGTGCAAGGTACGGGGTTCCAACGCCAGCAGCATATACACAGAAAGAATTAACTAAATATAACAGTATTTCTAGATATGTTTGAATTAGCCAATGATTCTGAATCACAGGATTACTTAAATTAATTCAAAATTCTAATTCTGTATTTTTCCATGAAGTGCTGAAGTCAAATGTGGTAATTGTAAAATTTGTTAAATGTCCTACTTTAGCAAGTTATTCATTTGGTTCACTGTAGGATGCTTAGATTACAATGTTCAGGGGCTGGACAGACAATTCAACAATTAAGAGGTGTACTGCTCTTGCAGAAGACCCAACAATTCACTAGGTTTAACTCCACCTCTGACTTGTGACTTGCAGGTATACATACACGCACAAGCATGCACAATGAATCTTTAAAAGACAAAATGTTCATTGAAAAAGCAATGTTCTTTAAAAATCTTAAATTACCTAGAGGTTTAGTTTTTTTTGTTTGTTTGATTTTGGTTTTTTGGTGTTTTTTTTTGAGACAGGGTTTCTCTGTGTAGCCCTGGCTGTCCTGGAGCTCACTCTGTAGACCAGGCTGGCCTCGAACTCAGAAATCCACCTGCCTCTGCCTCCCAAGTGCTGGAATTAAAGGCATACACCACCACCACCCGTACCTAGGTTTAAAAGGTGTATGTCCCTAACCTTGGATGTTGTGTGTAAATCTGGGCCCAATAATTTGCACTAAGAACAAGTTCCTGGCTGAGGTGGTTGTAATCTAAAACACTTAGGAAACACAGCTCTGAAAACTGTACTATTCCATTCCCACTAGCTTGTACGTTTGAAGACACACATACAGCCGAGTAGTGATCTTTGTGCCCCAGAAGATGCTCTATCAAACATCACCTGAAAACACCCTATCAACAGTTCATTCTACCTGCTGTGCTGGTACAACCTATCACACACACTCTCACACACACACACACACACACACACACACACACACACACAAAAGCACATTTTCAACTTCACTAACTTGGGAGGGAGTAAGCAATGTGGAGAGTAGATTTAAACGTAGGAATAGAAAGAAAATGAGCAGAGCAAGTCCAGCAATTAATATCAGAACAGAGAAGGTGGAAGAAGGAACAGTAAATAAAAGAGGGAATCAATAAAGACAGAGGGAAGAGACAAACAAGGTAACTCTAGCTAACATGAGGATGAAGAAGAGATGAAGAAATGTGACCAGTCCAAGTCAATACCAGCACTGAGCAGGCTCTGGCGGGGAGACCCAAGGCCAGCCTGTGTGCTTTGAGAAAGCAAACAAAAAATCAATCAAACAAACAAACAAACAAAACAAACAAACAACCCAATGGGTAAAACAAGGCAGGCAAAGCTGGCTCACTGAACTGAAAATAGGTATTAATCAGGGAAGTGTACATGTGAAGAAGAGACCTGGGAAGGTGCAGAGTGGGCATGCAAACCCTTGGGGGTCCCTTACATGTCCACTTGGTCCACCTCTTTGCAGTCTCTGGCTACATGCCAGCTTATAAAACCCACTCTCTAGAGTAATGTGAATAGGAAACATAAATTCAGATGAGGTTGACAAATGTCATCTAAGACTGGGAGGGACTGGGCTCTAGCCAGAGGACTGCTACCTCCCAAACTTTCCAAGACTGCAAGTATCAGTACATTCTGATGCATTTGATTAGAGTCCTCTCAGTCTGGTCGGTCGGTCTCTCTCTCTCTCTCTCTCTCTCTCTCTCTCTCTCTCTCTCTCTCT